GGACCAGGGCGGACCAGGGCGGGACCAGGTGGGACCAGAGCGGGACCGGGACCAGGGGACCGGGACCAGGGTGGACTCTGAGCTCTGACTGTGTTCCTCCGCAGGGTCCGAGCCTCAACTTCGAGCTCCGGTCCTGCCGTGGGCTCTGAGCCTCCGCTCTGGTCCCAGTCTGGTCCCAGTCTCAGTGGTGCTTTGGTCCTGGTCTGGTCCCGGACCTGGTCCATTTGAACCAAAAGCTCTTAGTTCGGTTTGTTTTCGTTGGTGTGAAAGCGTCAGTTTGATGCTTTGCTCCACCTCGGAACCAGCCGTGGTTCTTGAGCGTGGAGGACCGGAGCAGCCGGTCTGGACCTGTAGTCCACATTCTCGCTTTCCCCACATGGAACCAGCGCAAAGAGGAACCCCTCGGACCGCTGGTCTCGGTCTCAGTCCCAGTCTGGTTCCGGTCTGGTCCCAGGACCTGGATCAGTCCTGGTTCAGTCCGTAAAGCAGTGCAAACGGCATCGCAGTCACGGAAGTCACGTAAGCGGGAAACGGCGTCCAGGTCCGGGACCACACCGGGTACAGACTGGGACCAGAGCGGGACTGAGACCGGGACCAGGCCGCGACTAGGCCAGGACCAGGCCGGGACCAGACCGGAGGCTCAGAGCCCTCGGCAGGACCGGAGCTCGAAGCTGAGGCTCGGACCCCGTGGAGGCCTCAGAGTCAAAGCTCGGAGTCCGGTGCCGCTCTGGTGCCGCTCTGGTCCCACTCTGGTCCAGCTCTGGCTCTGGTCCAGCTCTGGTCCCGATCTCGTCTCGGACCTGGATCAGTCCTGGTTCAGTCTGTACGTGATGCAAAAGTCCGACATCTCAGTCACTGAAGTCACGTAAACGGGAAAACGGCTGTTATCCGTTTTTTCCATTCTTCATTTAAACACAAAATCGAAAACTGAAAAAACGAATCGTTATCCGTTTTTTTTATTTTGGTTTTGGAGACGAATAATGAAGAAAACTGTTGTTTTTTCATTTTCTTATTTTTGGTTTTATATTGAAAAACGAATGAACGAATGATACATGGATCCAGTGTGTTATTATTCCAGTTTTTTTCCGTGTATTAAAATGTCCGTCTATACCATAAACTGTTCCTATAGCGTCCTCGTCCGTCCTCGCGCTCGTCCTCGCGCTCGTCCTCAGCTCGTCCTCGCTCGTCCTCCAGCTCGTCCTCGCGCTCGTCCTCGCGCTCGTCCTCGCGCTCGTCCTCGCGCTCGTCCTCGCGCTCGTCCTCGCGCTCGTCCTCGCGCTCGTCCTCTTTGCCCTGATTTGAGAAAAGTGGGTTAATATTTTGGGGACCAGGGGCCGACCCCGCTCTGATTGGACGCCATCTTTAAATGTCTCGCTCTGCCGGGGGCGTCTCTCCTCCTCTTTCCCCCTCTTCATCCCCTCTTCTTCCCCTCTCACGTTCACACATGTTTAACACGTTTCTGAAAACACTCTGCTCCACCTTGTGATGTCATGTGGTGATACCATAGACCGTACAGACCAGGGGTGGGTAAGTATTGTTTCCATGGGGCCACATGAGAAACAGGAAATATTGTAGAAGTCCAGGTTGAAACGCTTAATATAAATTGTATTTCTTTATAAAAAGCAGTAAGTAAACTACCGT